CTGTGACAGTTTTATCTTGAACTAATTTTTTAGCCACCAAAAATCATAAACTGGTACATTAGTGATAAATTTACTTAAAACTAATTTTTTTATCATAAAAAATTTCAAAATTAATATACTTGTGATAAATTTGTCCTTCATGAAATTAGATTAATAAGTCGCAATCTTTATGGGTGCGATTGGCATCACTTTGCTAGAGCTTTTTAGGGCTCTGAAGATCTTTAGCCCAGCCCAAAACAAATTATGCTTGACAAATTTTTTGTAGAGCTTAGGGGAGATGCAATTTCATCTCTAAAGCTTTATAAGTGACTTTAGCTTAATGGAGGCTAGGCCCGTCAAATGCGTGTATTTGATCGGGTTTGGGTTGGATCATAAATGGTCTGACCTAAATTGATCCGTTTGTTCCGTTTTGATCCATTTATTTGTAATGCAAATTTTTTGACCCAAATCCGAATCCTCTTGGGGTTCCTTTTTTTTTTTTTTTTGCATTTTTTGCATTTTTTCTTGTTATATTGTTGCCTTTTGAAGAATGGATGGCTCCGTCGGCTCGTCGAGTTAGTGAGGGAGGTCGGGGATTGGGTTATAGAGAGAGAAAAGGCCGCCGCAATGACATTGGTAGTAAGCTAGAAAACAGAATAGATACACAGAAGTGAACCAAGATAAAATGGATATGCGGGCTAATGCACGTCGGATATATGACAAATCAGATTACATGAGTTCAGGTTTATCTCTTACTACAAGTGAGTCGGGATGCAGTTGCCGGTTTCTGCGAAAGTTTTGCAACAGAAATACGCTAAAACAAATCGATGCACAAGAAGAAAGAACAAAAGAAATTGTCCCATTACAAGCTTGCACTTTGCCCTTTCATATGCGCGTTTTGACCAACAGATTCCACCCACCATCTTGGCCACCCCTTCGTCAAGAACATCATGGATGCTGGTGTCCCTGTCCAAGAGATATGTCACCCTGGAGAAATTAATCAAAATAACAAAGTGCACAACATGTTTACAAAGAGGGTATGTCCTTACAGCAATCTTGCACCGACAGCATGCCGACTTCGTCAGCGTGTTCAACTTCAAATTCGAAGGAAAGCATACAGAAGATAAGAGGGGGATGCAATTGCATCTCTAAAACTCCTCTACGAAAGATTGGAGGAGTTTTCAGAAGTAGCATTTTCGGAATGCTCACAGGCTGGTTTAATAGTTAATTTCCCCATATATCAACCATAATTCCAATTTTACCCCTTTTTAAACAAAAACTCTAAAGTTGCGTTTGGTGGTTAGGATAATGAGCTTATTTGCTATCTAATATTTAGAATCGTACTGTATTCCTAGATTGATTGATGGAGGTTATTTTCGTTTTTGCATTTGTGATTTCTTTAATAGTGAATCGTGAGAGATTCTTATTATTTTCAATTGTACATTTTCAGGTTAAGTTACACTAATATGTCGTTCGTTCTAAACAATAAATATGATAGGATATGAAAGTATCTTGGTTTATTATTACGATTCACCAAACGATGAATAGGATATAACAAAATCCCCGAATTTCTTATCCTATCATGTTCAATCTAATCTTAACAAAAAATCCAACGATCAAACGCAATAAAAAATCCGTTACTTCTCGCACGTCTCTTCGTTCACTAAAATCGGGCATTTCCTTTCGCTCCTCTTTTCGCTCTAGACATCGCTTGTCTCTCTTCCGTCACGTTAATTGCTAAAAAAAGAAGCAATTGAATACGATCCGGTTGCTTTAATCCTTTGTTTTTTTTAACGCATGCGCTTTTCTAACACCCATATTCTCAGCTTACATTGAGGCTGGTACAACCAACAAACCCAAAAAACCACAAATTAAACTACAATCCCAAGCTTGAGGACTGCAATTGCGTCTCCCCAAAGCTCTCCCGAAAATTTTCCAAGCACTATTTGCCTTGAGTGAAAGGGTTTTCAGCTCTAAAAAGTTTTCATGTATTTTAAATTTTAACTTGGAAACTTTAGTTCCATCAAAAACTTATTTTGGGCGAATTCTGCATTGCAAATTAAGTTATCACGAGTAGGGTTGTCGAGAATCGAAGAATGGCTGTTGCGGCTGTTCGAGGTTGTTGTGGCTGTTCTGTGGTTTATTTGGCGGAGGAGAAACAATTTCATTTTCCGGAAAAAACGCACGCCCCAATCCAGAAATCCTTGTTGAATCAGCGCATAATATGCTCAGTAATTGGTGCAAATGGAATCACAAAGAAAAGGAAACTAATTTAGAAGGAGAAGCCCTGCCTTGACGTTGGTATCCTCCAAAGGAACAAACTTTAAAGGCGAATTTTGACGGCTCTTATACAGAAGGATCAAACTCGGGCGCAGTAGCTATTGTTGTCCGAGATGCGACGGGAGCTCTGGTGGATAGAGTAGCGAGCTATGGTGGACGCAGTAGCGAGAACGGTACCGGCATCGTCGGCGGGTCAAGCCGAAACCCTAGGCTTGCTCGCCGCTTTCTCTCTCTCTCCCGGAAACAAAGAAAGAAAAAGATATCGTACTTGAATCTGACCGCCTGTCTTTAGTTCACATGGTTAACAGCTCAGATCAAGGTAATTGGGAAGCACATGCTCTTATCGTAGAAGTTCGCAGGGTCATGGACCGGTTCAAGAACATTTCTCTTGTCCACTGCACAAGAGAGTTCAATAGTATGGCGGACTAGATTTGTAAGGTCCATAGACAAAAAAATCTACCCTCGATTGGGTATCCCAGCTCTCCAATCTCTTTGGCTGCATTTGGTCGTCTGGATTTTTAGTCATGATAAGATTGGATAGGATAGGATTTGAAATCCAAGAGATTTACTGTATCCTATCTACTGTTTGGTGAATCATGGAAATAAAACCGGATATTTTCACATCTTACCATGTTCATTATTTGCTATGAACGTCATATTAATAAATGAACCCAAGAATTGCATAAACGGAGATTATAAAAATCTCTCTCACGATAGTCTTACCTATTTCATTTTTATTTGCTTATTTTTTATTATTATTAGTAAGCTATACTAATATACCTAAAATATATAATAAATATAAATACATTAGTATTGATTTATATATGAAATTTATATCACAAGATATAAATAAATTTTGAATATATAAATAAAAATAAGAATAAATAAAAAAATAAATTATTGTTATTTTTTTGTTATTTTGAATTTTTTATATTAAAATTCATATATTATTTATATTCAAATATTATTTTAATTTTATTAATTTAACAAGTTTTTTTTTCGACAAAATTAACTTTTATATTATGAATATTAGAAATCCTATCCACCTTTATCCCACCTCCTCCATGGGAGAATTTTATCCGGGCTATATCCCTCCTATATCCGACTTTATCCTATCTTGAGCAGACACCAAACACGGGATAGAATAAAATTTATCCTATCCCGAATTTTATTGCGACCACCAAACGTAACCTTTGAGATTTACTTTATTTTGATGCCCCTGGGCTTTGGTGTTTGAAGTATTTTCATATATTGATAAATTTTGTTTGACAAAAAAAAAACATATTTGACATTTCAAATTAGTTTCCAATCTATGTCAGATTCCGTAACACTATTTCCAAGAGTGAATATTCAGTTAGGATTCCCTTCCAAATTCGAATGTCGCCCTGACTTTTTGTTTTTTTGTCTTCTTGTATGATTTTCTCCCGGACATTACACTAGTACTTTAGATTTGCTATGATTTATTTTCCTAAATGGGAAATAAAAGAGTAGGACCTTTTAAGGAAAAATATGGCCTTGATGGGAATCCTGTATATACATAATGACAAAAAAAAGAGAGCAAGAGGGTAATTAAATTATAGTTTCCGGAAGGGAATCTAATCTCGAGATAGATTTGACACGAATTCAGAAGGTGAGGTTATATTACCATAATCTAAAAAAGGTGGAGAATGGAGATGGAATTTGAACAAAAATCGGAGAAAATTATCAGACTTACGTGGAGCTGGGCCCGACCAACAACGTGAAAAAACAGGCCCTCGTCCCTGTCCCTTTATGGGACCCGGAAATTGGAAAAAGCGTAGCAATTCATGAGTTTGGAGTTTTGATTTTGACGTGTGATAAAAAAAAAAATGGTCCCGAAATCTGGTCATATGCATAAATTGTATGTGTAATGATTGAATTTCGGGTGGTTGGCTAGTATCGAAATTTTAGGATAAAGTTCTTACACGAGCAGGCCCACTTATCCATCGCGTTCGCATTCTAATGTAAAAAGGGGAAGTCCTTGCGAGGGAGCAATTTCCACATCATCTCCTACGAAGCCCCCCTCCGAGGTCAAACTTTGTGGGCACCCCATCAAGAGGAGGGGAGGAGGACAAGGAGGAGGCCTTTGTCCTAAGAAGAGCCAGAAAGAAAAGTAAAAAAGGTGGCATTTTCCGTTGCTTTCCTCCATATAATAAACGGTTCCCTTCGACCACCAAAGAAAAAAAAAAAAAAAAAAGGGTTCCGACGTCCTTTCGGCCTCTCTCCGGTTGTCTCCTCAGGCACAGCGCTCGGGAGGCGGGGGGACTCATGCTCCAACAGGGTCGCGGCATCTTACTAATAAGGATTCATGATGGGGTAGATTCTTTTTGGGTATTGAATATAATCATACGGCGGATTTCGTTCCGTAATATAAATAGTTGAAAAATAAGGAAATGCGCTAATGTAATGAACCTCGAGATTACTAGTGGGTACTGAGATGGGATGGAAAGGGGCGGGTAAAGGTCCGGATCGGGCTGACCTCGTTTTCGGGTGGGGTCCTGACCGATGGGTTCGGACCGCACGGCGGTCGGTCGGGGAATACTGGCCGATGCCGAAGCCACGACCACGCGCACGATTGGCCCTAAAACGTGGCCCCCGAAGAGTGGAAAGACCAATCCGAAAAAGGGTGGGGGGGGGTGCGTGCTTTCCCAGATCACACGCGCCTCCTGCTGCCTCCCCCCCCCCCCCCCCCCCAAAACCACAAAGACAAAAGCCAAAATTCAAAGCCGCCGCCGCCGCCGCCGCTTTCCCTCTGAGTTCTTCTGACCCAGAATCACCACCACATCACGTTGCACAGAGAGGCACAGAGAGAGAACCATGGGAGAGAACGGCGAAGCAGTCCGGCTCAAGCTCAAGCTCAAGCTCCGGCCATCGCCTCCGCCCCCGGCGGCCGCCGCCCTCCTCCGCCGCAGGAACTCGATCGCCACCTCCGTGGTCGTGCAACCCCTCCCCGCCGCCGCCGCCGCCGCCAAGCCCACCCCCGCCCACTCCCTCAGCTTCCCCAACGGCACCGCCGCCGCCCCGCCCCCGCTCGACCTCTCGGGCCACGCGTTCGCCTCCTACACCTCCCTTAAGGACATCCTCCCCGCCGTTTCGTCCCCCGCCGGCTCCCCGACCGCCTCGGCCGCCGCCGCCGCCGCCGCCGCGAGCTCGTCCTACGAGATATCGATCCGCAACCGCCTGGTGAACAGGGCCGCCTGGGCCTACCTCCGGCCGATGTCCGCCTCCCCCGGATCCGACGGCCCCCACCTCCTCCGCCGCCTCTGGCTCCGCCTCTCCGCCTGCCTCGGGTTCGTCTTCGACCGGATCGTCCGCTTCTTCTCGCCGCTCCGCTCCGGGAGATAGCCGCGGCCTCCCGTGACGTCGACGGCGTGGTTTTTTTTTTATAATGCTGGCGTCACAGGCATCGTTCCCCCGACCAAACTGGTACGTAATAAAAAAAAATATTTTTTATTTTTTTGCGCGTCTTATTTTTACATATCCTCTTATACCAAAGTACTGTTGATAATACTCGAGTCGTATTCACTCTCTGATGTCCCAATACTAAGTTTCATACATCAGTTGTAATCTATCTTTCTGATTTTTTTTGCCACCTGGGATTTTATGGAATTGATCTTTGCATTGTTCTGGCCAAAATTAACCAAAATCTATGCATACCCATAATACCTAACGAATGTCAATAGGCATGCGGCCTCGCTGGTAAAAGGGTTTGAGAACGAATGCCAATAGACATGCGGCCCTCCCGGTAAAAGGGTTTGGGGGATAGGGACGATAGTATCACGGGTGCGAGATTCGATTCCTGCGCTATGCAAAAGGCGGAGTAAAAGTCAGAAAGAATTAGGAGGGACGAGACTCCATATTTATTCAATTTCGAGAAAAAGAAAGGTAACCCGACTTTGTGCCTATACACAACAGAGAAAGAGAAAGAGAGAGATAGAGAGAGAGAGATTTGAGTTTGTCGAATTAATCAATCGATGTGGTGGTCGATGGTGCGATGGGAGCGCCTCAGCCTGTGGCCATGGGGCTTTTCGTCCTCCTTTGCAGGAGATGTGTCTTCATGATCTTGCACTTCTTGTTGCTCGGTCTGGTCCTCGATGTACACGTACTCCGTTTGAGCGCTGACGGGATTCATCTCACCCGAGTCGGACTTGGGCGTCCCTGACATCGAACGGTTGATCGAGCTGTGGCTCCTTCCCTCCTGCAAAGACCACCCGCTCTCTCATCAAGGAAATGCCTTCTCCCCGCCGTGTGTATGCTCAGCAATGGTTTAATAAACTCAAACATGTTCATTTTACCCGCATGATCGATAAGAAAGTTATCGGACATACCTGGCAAGCAATGCTCGATCGTCAGGGCATCAATTGAACGTATTACTCGTGATCGGTAAGACGACATTCTCGAAATCTCAAACCTTGCTTTATCAATGACATCGAAAGGGAAAATTTTTTTGTACCTTGGGGTTAATCGACTTGAAATTCCTAGACTGGGCGGCCAAGTACTGCATGGCCCGAGAGAAGGCAACGTGTGCGTATTCCGAGCAATATTGCCAGTTGAAAGAAGCGAAGTCCCATGCCCTCGCCTCCCACTCCACCAGCTTCGTGTCTATCTCCCTCTCGTGCCTCGACATGAACGGATGCAGCACCTTCTCGTACACATACCCACTTCCCTACACAATTCAAATGCAGAAGAAGCAAAGAAATCAGGTCAAAATTCAACTCCCTTTTCTCGTAACAGGAAGAATACCGTACGTTATATCATCAGGCAGAAACAGCCCTTTTTGTTGTTAGGATTCGAGTGGGCTTGTGGGGTTACCTTGGTTTTTGGATGCCACAGGTAGATGATGAAACCCAGCTTCAGTTCCCAATACATTGGAAACCTTCAAACCAAAAGAGGAAGACAAACAAGAAGAAAAGCTTTCTTACGAATAGGGAGGGGGCACATACATGTCATGTGAGGCTCTGATGAAAATGGTTCTGCTTACCATGAGATCAACACATCTCCAATTCTCTCCAGGACTGTGAACATCGCCAAGATGATCCTGCAAGCAACCGATGCTCGCACGAATTAACATTTCCTCGCGCCTCGTGTATACTCGAAAAGGATCGGGAACATATAAACAGAAGAAAGCGAAAGAGAAAATCGACGGAACATAGTCGAAGTAATCATCAAAGCAATGTCCCTTGAACCAGAACTCAAATCGCATCCGCCAAATTCATTGAATTGCAGTAGGAAAAGAATTGCGACGGGTCGACTCCTACATGCGATATGGTTCAATGCGATTCAAGCATTCTAAAGATAAGTAAATAATTCAAAGGCTCTGTATTAATCCCTTCAAAATTAAAGAAGGGTCATTTCCCTCACCAGTATTGACACCAATGCCTGAGTTCATCAATCTGTACCCTGTTTTTCTCCACCGTTTTGTAACATTGGAATGCTGGGTATGCATACCCAAGAACCAACCTGCCATGTTTGATAAAAACCCACAAAAAAAAAGCTAATAAATTTCCCAAAAGAGAAAACATTTCACCCTCTTCCTTACATTACCAAAAGGAGGCGGTAACACAGAGAAGCGATTTACAGAAGAAACGGTGGGCATACAATAGGCATCTGGTGATAAAATTCCCCAGCATCCTCGATCACTGCTTGCGAGTCGTCGTCCGGCGCCCCGCCGAAGCTTTCTGCATTGCAGAGGTGTGAGAATCTCAATCACCACATCATCCCGTTTCGCAGGCAAAGGAAAAGAATGACTTGGCCAAAAAGGCACAAAAGGACCAAATGACATTTTTTTGGTGGCGCAGGGCAAACTTGTTGGAGCAATCCAAGAATGTCAAGAGCTACCAAAACGAGAAAAGCGGCAGAGAGGGAATGTGTCCTGCCCGGGCATACATACCAGAGAGAGACAGAGCCCAAATCGCCGGCAAGTTAGAACGCGCGCGAAAATGGGCTCGAGAGATGCTTGGGAAGCGAATGGAGATAAAGGATCTCCTGATGCTGCTGGCTCAGGGAGGGGAGAGAGGGAGGGAAGAAGGGCTACGTATGATCTACATGACAACGGTTCAGTGAAACTCGACAGAATAGATTTATACATGGTGCAAAAACGTCGCTCGCCGCCCAAGGGCTCGTTTCGCAAAACTCATGATGCCAAATAAGTAAATCAAGAACGAAAAAACAGAGGAGGGGCTCTGTCTTCCGGACAGGGAGAGAGGCATAAAAATAGAAGAGAACAATTTCAGGAATTTAGCAAATCCAGACCGGTACGACGAGATGGGATATCTACGGATTCTTCGAAGGGATCGGTTGGGCGGTTATTCTTCCCTTTATCTTTGTCTCCATTTTCAGGTGGCATATCCGTTCAATTTGCATCACACATGTATCACCATAGTAAGCGCGGGAGATGGGGAAATTCGCGTGTGCTTGTGCTGGTGTTGGTGCTGGTTCATCCTGAAAAGAAATGGATTGTAGAATTTATCGCACAAAGCATTGTAAGGTGCCGGTCGGGCTGCTGTGGCGGCACTATCTTTCCGGTTCAATCTCTAATGGTGTTGAAAATAATTCATATACACACGCTGGAAAGAATTTTTTAAGGTAAGGACAAATCAGGCTCATCTGTAGAATCGAGGGACAAGAAAAACAGAAAGAGCAAAGTAAAATCATGTTTTGGGCAATTCATTGATGAAACGAAGATTGCGCACAAACATAAGTTTGGCAGGTTCTTCAAAATGTCTAGCTTACAAAATTTTGCCATTTTCGAGGTTTTCTGATTTGGCAATCAATAAGTACAAAAGGTTTCTTTTCTTTTTTGAAAATTACAAACAATCAATTATAAGTATAATATCAGGACACTTGATAAATACTCGCTAAAAAGGAAAGCTTGTAATTTCCTACGTATCGCCTTTCTTGTATTGTATATAATTAATGTATTGGAAATCAAGACTTTATTTGATTAAGTATGGTTAATTAGTATCTGGAAAGCACTATTTAACGAGATCTTTTTTCAACGAACGAGGATTATATTAGTGTAAACCTCAACCGAATCCAACCTCTCGAGAGATCGTCAGCCGTCGGATCGAGTGATAATAGATCAGAACCATCAAAATCGGATATTTTCTACAACACCTAATGAACCTAACCCAAACGACCAGATCAAAAAATAAAACGGAAATTAAAGGCCCTGCATTTTAGTATTTTGTAGGCCGGAGAAAAATAAATGCTGCTTCGTCTTCCTTGCTCAGAAGTTGCGATCCGACCAGTCTCCCTCTTCCGTCATTGCAGGTACGTCGTTGTCGTTGTCGTTGTCGTTGTCGTCGTTCTTGTCGAGGTTCCCACTCGACGCCGATGCTCGTCTGTGTTTCTTGGTTGTTTCATGATGCCATTGTTCCCAAATTGGTGGCTGAACGAGCTTTTAATCGGTGATGTTTCGCATGGCTTCCTCGCTCGCCGCTCTCAGTCGTTGTTTGCTCATTCAGGACAAGATTCAGTTTCAAATGTGAATTTGGGGTCATGGGTCGTGCATCCCTCCCTTCGAAAGCCGCTAATTTTCGACTGTGCAATGTGTCCGGGTACGTTGAGCTGCCGGTGATTGATTGATGACCCATGTTATAGTAGGAGCTCTCTTCGCTGATCTTGTCGTTTCCGTCTTTAGTTGCGCCACTGAATTGCTCGAAGTTCGCTCCGACGATCCTGCATTGCATGTTCTGTTCATTCCTGGGAATCCAGGTAAAACCCTTCTTTCTTTGTCCTTCTTGTTTTCGTTTTTGCCCTTTCTCTAGAGTTGGGGTTGCTCGTGGTTCTTGATTTGTGTTTGGTCATGGAAATTGTCGCTCTGGCTTGGTGGCTGTGATAGGTATAGTTACATATTACAAGGACTTGGTTGAGTCGCTATATGATCAGTTGGGAGGAAGTGCATCTGTTACAGGCAAGAATGGCATTTTTTTTTTGTCCTTTCAAGCGTTTTCTTATTCTCTTTTGTGCACATGTCGTGTGTGGTCTCTGTTCTCATTGATTTTTGTGTGCTTGATCTTCAGCTGTTGGCCACATATCCCATTCCAAAAAGGTACTTTCTGCATTTGTTTATGTAGGATCTTCAAGCTCTCTGCTTTCGTGCCCGATGTAAATTTTTGCCTTTTGAATGTCACCCTTATTTTCAATTTGGAACTTTGCCATATTTCTGCTGCTATTAGTTCTTGGTTCCTACTGATTTTTTCTCTTTTTAGCTAGATTGTTCTTAGTTATTACTAAATTGACCTTTGCACGTTTTGAGCAGTGGATGCTGCAATTTCTTAAGGACATTGATACTTCATGACCTAACGTGCAATTTTCTATTTTCTGCAATACCTCTTATTTTAATTTATATCCTTGCTTCACTTTGCAAATGGATGGCAATTGATGAAATTTTCACTGTAGGACTGGGAGAATGGAAGGTTCTTCTCGTTGCAGGAGCAAATTGACCATAAGGTAGCCTTTTGCTCTATGAATTGATTTTAAGCATGCATTAGACCGCTATGATAGAGTTATGACATTTTTAAACTTTGAAACACTTGCTAGAAAAAGATAGAAACTATAACTTGAAAAAACCATGTTGAGATGCCTGGTTCCTCTTGGCGGGGCTTATCTTAATCTTATATCATTGCTACCTAATCTGCAAGACTTCCAATCTTTACCTTTGAATCTTTCGATCAGTCAAGCCTTTTTGGCAGATTATTAGTCTAGGAAGTCTTGCATCTTAGAAACTCTGTCTAGGATGGCAATCCTGATTCCAACAGTACCTTCTTATCTATCTATTCTGTGGCAAAATACCTTTTTCCCTAACTTCTGATTATTTCAACTGAAAGCTTGGTACTTATCCACTTTACCTTTCTTGCGTCTTAAGATAATTGTTCATGATGTTATTTTCATTTAATCCTTCTCCAGGTGGAGTTCATGAGACAGGAAATGCAAAATACCAGAGCTCCTTTGTTACTGGTAGGGTTATCTTGGGTCAACTAATAAGGTTTCCTTTCTCAGTTTCTCAGCCCGTACTTACTACATCGCAAAATGAGCGAGGAATTGAACTTTGTTGCTAAAAACCTAATGAGCCTCCTGAGAGCTCCTTTATAAAGAGCATGAGAAGAAATCTCAGTCCATAACAATATTAGGGCCTTCACGTGCTAGTTTACTGGTATAATACTTTTGGCTGAAAGGTGTTGCAAAAGTAAAGCTATCATGTTAGTCTAATTAGTTACTATTTACTATCCATAAAGTCTGTCTAGAATTTAGTAAATCATTCTGTGTACCTTGCTTCAGGCAGTGTTCCCTTCGTAATTCTTTTCACAAAACAAGCTTGTTTGGCATCAGATGTTAGTGAATTTGTCAAATGTTTTCGGCTTGAAGAAATTCTGCAGTAAAATCTTTTAATTTGCACGTCAACAGAAGAATGGAAAAGATATACCTATAAAGATCGTTTGCATAATTTTTTCTTTGGCCAAAGACAGTTTGCATTACTTTGATACAAGAGAGCTATTGCATCAGTATCTGTGAAACCAATATAGTAGTGGAACTGCATGGATAGGCTCTCAAATATTTGAGATCTAGGACATTTGAAGTTAATTCAATTACACAGCTTTTGTTTGTTTCTGAGTTTTAGCATTCATGAGAATTATTAGTGATAGGAGAGGCCCTTTCTTTATCATTCTTCTTCTGATAGCTATCAGTACCACGCTTTTCTCTTATGACATGCAAGCGTTTTAAGAATGATTTATGAGCGATGAGGAGACTTCTAAACATTCTTACTTTGTTGCTTTCATTTTTGACTGAGCATTACCTAACGTTATGGATTAATTCCTATCTGTAACTACGTATGGCACATATTATTGGCTATTTTGTATTTTAACAAATTCTAAATACTTTATTCTTCATTGTAACAAAAATGGCACACACATATGTGTGTTCAAAGTGAGAAAAGGTTTTAATAAAGGAAGAAAACTTGAGATTTCAGTTTTTTTTTTTTTTGGTCGGAGATTTCAGTTTTTTTAAACATTGGATTTAAAATATTCTGGATTAATTTAAGTTTGAAATCCATGAAAGATCCATGGGGTGACATGATTACGTTTCGATCAATTTTTATCATTTTCTCCATTTTATTTGTTATTAATCTTACAGCAAGTGAGGTCTTTCGCAGAATTTTGTGGAGAAAGTTTGAGGTTGAATGTTGTTCTTGGGTTTGCTTTACTAGATAGAGAGATACTCTGAAGGGGATTATTTCCCTGAAAAAATGAGGAAAGATCTTTTGCTCTCTTATGACCTCTAATCAATGGCGTGTTACTTGTAATTTGTACTTGAAGGTTGGGCACTCAATCGGTTCATATATCTCTATGGAGATCCTCCGGAAGTGCCCTGAGAAGGTGAATTTACTGTCACTTGATGGTTTGCAACCTATAGTTGCTCATAATGCTTTTAATTTGAAGAGGCAGGCTCCTGATTTCGTTGGCTTTGCTAGGTCACGTATTGTATCGGACTATATCCATTTCTGACATTGAACCCAGGGTCCATGAAGCAGTCTTTTATTAAGAATATTTCAGCGTAACGCTCTTTCCTTGTCATAAGTAACATATATATCATGTCATTTGTTTTCTACGGAGTGGGGGATCTCTTCAGTGCCTTACCTTTTTCAAGTACTCTTTACGACTTAGTGAATTCTTTGCATCATATCACAATTATTTACCCACATGATTTTCACTATTCTATATTTGCCATATGCCTAGGCTTCGTTTCTAGTTCTCCTTCAGCTCTTCTTGTATATCTGTATGAATTATATTGCTCTGTAATCCTAATGATTAACTGTTTAAGCAATTTCGTCAGAGCAAGTCCTGCATTACCCAGTGCTACTAGGAGCGAAAATCCTTGTGTTTTTATTTTTGATAAGACCGTTACTGATTCAGTCAATGGGTCTGATGTTGCACAGTCTCGAGTTTCAGGTCCTCAATCATATGTGCAGCTCTAAGCTTTGTCGTAGCATCATTGGGGTCATTACCGAGCAGATTTTCCCGGTTTATTGTTGCAAACTCTCTCGGAAAATCGTGGTCTCCAATGGCAATTGAGGCTACCTGCACTCATTTGCTGCAGGTGATGTTAGCTGTTCTCGACTTAAAGGACCGCCCTCTGTGAATCTCTGTTAGTGGAAATCGTCACATTTTATTTGTTGTCGATTACCAAATTCACTGCACTGGTATGCTGTTTGTACTTCTGATAGTTGACTTCATTTTAATAGTATCATACAATGCGGAATATGCTCTTCATGGCAATGACGGAATTCAAACAGGTTAGTGTTCCATAATCGCGTTTCCTAATTTGAAAAGCAAGATCAATGCAAGTACTAGTAATTTCAGCATCTCATGAGGTTGGAGAAGTGAAATTTTGCCATTTCTTTCTCAAAAAACAGTGTAGTCATTTTTCTGATATTCAAGCTAGGCTTTGCCAATGTGCTTTTCATTAATGAAGCCACAAGCACTGTGTTTTCACTTCATCTTCTGGAAGCATTATGGTCCTTGCAAAAGATTTTCTCCCTTCATGGAACTTAGATACCAGAGCTAGTTGCCTAAAGCTTCGCAGTCTCTCCTGTGCATCCTGAAGTTGTTCCCTACTACATTTTTCTCTTTGATAAGCTGTTCCATACTACATTGAAACTAGTACCATATATATCTGGCTTTGCTTTCTGCAGCATTAGATAAAAGAGATAAATCAACTTTGTGGCTAAACTGAGAGGCCCAGGCTTCGGGTTAATAATGGTTATAGAGTTGGTATAAAGATAGATAATCCTCTTATGCTCATAACGTCCGACTGAAACACTTTGCAGGTCTCAGTTTAGGAAAGTAATGTTTACTTAAATTTCTGTTTCCACTGTCCACAAAATAGATATTGACTTATTTGGCTCAAATGTTTCTTGTCATTGCTTGAGAAATTTGGGGTTTCCATGCATTTCTCGGTTGCCTGGTGAAGCTTATTCATTTAGACAGTAAGAAGGAATCATATATAGTTCTAGCTTATGTGAGAAAGTAGTGGCTGTATGCATGTGATAATCATTTTGGTGGGAAGTTGTTTCCTTAAGCTATTTTGCACCCAATCATTTAAAGAGAACCGCATCTTGTTTCTCCGTAAGATATTGGGCTTCTCGTAGCATATCCTGCAGAGAGAGACAATGAAATGAAAGCCCGTGCTGACCATTGTAGTCTATGACAGCTTTCAGAAGTATCAGATTGGGCATTTCTGAGAGCAAACAGGGAAAAAATCGCATTTTTGTTTGGCCTCGATGATCACTGGGGCCCGCTGCAAACACTTGAAGAGGTAAATTTTAAAGATCTCGTAATGGACCAGGACTTATGCGGTGAATATGTGCACAGGCAGAATTACTCTCACAATAGCTTTTTCACTATTAAATGTCTTAAACAATGAATGATCATAGCTTCATGTGTGAGTTTCATGTCATAACTCATGATTATGATTTCATTCTCAAGAATTTATGATCTCATGGTTATTTGCTATTCTAATGCTACGGAGCTATTCTTGAGCTATATTTGTAGGTGGTTAGAGTGTGTTCATGATCATCCCCCGGTGCTCTGATGTTGTCGATGGCAATTCTCATGTTTTGTTTTTTTTTTCCTTATAGATATCCAAGAAGATCCCTGAAATTACTTTAGCAATTGAGAGGGAGGGCCATACTCATTCTTTCTGTTGCACAGAAGCTGGATCAGTTTGGGTAGCTGAGCACATTGCGAGCTTGATCAAAGCCAGAATATTGAATTCAAACCAACGGATTTAAATTTCAACAAAATGACCTTGATCCGGTGAGTTGAGCTTCATAGTACCTTCTTGAATAACATGTAAAGCGATCTCTCTGTCTAAATTCTGACTCCCATAGCGTCTGCCATATATTCGAATTGAATGTTTTATTGTCAACAGTATCCTAACTCAAATTGCTTCACCATGCCGCCAGTTGGTCAATGGGTGCCATGGTACAGAAGTCCAAGTCTGAGAATGTGTATTCTTTTCCGTCCATATTGTTATGTTCGAGTTTCACAATGCTAGTTTACTTTACTTTCACCATGTCATTTACCCTCTAGACTAGGCTATGTAAACTCGGATTGGAGGATTCGGCTATTTATATCCCTACAAATTTTTTCCAAGCTATATTGACTTCAATTTGCAAGATATTGGTTCTCCACCCCCTCCACATGGAAAGAAAAGAATACACCACAATTCTTGTTCCCTGTTATTGACTTCAATTATCAAGATTTTAGTCTGTAAGCATCTCCAGCCCCTTGACATGGAAAGGAAAAGTGATCATAATAGGCATTGATGACCGTTCATGGACCACTTTAGGTTTACAGATATTGCAGAGAATACGGACGGGATTAGGCATAATGCAATGACAGGGAAGGATTCAGTAAATTAGCTCTTTAAGTTTCTGCTAACCATTTAATTGGTTTGGCAGATAATTAAGGAACCCCTTGCTGGTAAAACCAATTTCACAGTGATTTCAAGGAACTTGCAATGGAAGTTCATCGTTGTAGAGAAGGCACTTCGTGCAGGTTCGAGTCAGCTGTTTCATTTGTTAACTTGCTTGCTGGGACTGACTGTCAATCACTGTCATAGGATCCTCGACTCCCATACCTGTACAAGCCGAAATGGCTTAATGTGTCTGTTCGATGCCCTTGTGCTGCCACGCGGTGTGTCGAGTAATTGAACAGATCAGGTTTAGCTATTGAATTTGCCTGGTCAACTGTCAAAAAACGAACAGAGAACATATCATTTTTTTTTTTTACTTTCATCAACTTTTGGATGATATGCTTCCGAACTGGCCTTTCTGGTTTTCCTTCCTTGCCAATTTGCAGCAATTAATGTAAGCTTTGCCTTCACTCCATTCTATGCTGTTTTAGTACGCAGATAGACATGATAAATTTGACAAAACAACAGTTTTATTCTATCTCTGCGAAAGCTAAAAATTCTCACCTTTGATACGAACTTTTGAGGTCTATGATGTTTGGGAAAAAGTACCAAAAAGTCTTATACCTATTGTATTGGTACCAATTCAGTCTTAAACCTTTTAATTGGACCAATTGAGTCCTAAATTTTTTCACATCGGTACCATTTCAGTTTATTCGGCCAATTTAGATTGCAAATTGCCGATGTGACGCCAGCCGTCCTATGTGGCATGGGATGGCCGGCTCTGACTTGAACATTTTTAATATTCTTTTGAATTTTTTATAATTTTTTTTTTTCATTCCTAGGGCCTTTAAGGCTCTGTCGCCGCCCGTCTTGTCACGTAGGATGGTCGGCGTCTATATCAGCGATTTCTGGTCTAAATTGATCGAATGAATTGAATTGGTTTTAGTGTGAAAATGTTAAGGATTAAATTGGTACTAATGCAATATGTTTTGGACTTTTTTTGAAACTTTTCCCGTCACGTTAGCACAAATGAGAAGCATTCTGTACTGATTTTTCTCCCGAGTTTGCTGATTCGCGGGTTTCTGTCTGAAAACATGGCGATAGTTCTCGCCAGAATATCTTCATATGCGCAAGTTACAGAGCAGTTCCATTGGCGGATATCGGAACATAAAGCGACAAAATCGAAGATCAAGATTTAGCAGCGTATAACGACTATATCACAGAAACAGACAGAGGACGACGAGCTCATTGTTTTGGCTTGTTTTGCCCCGTGACATTCCAGATTTCTGAACCTGCCCGACATTTTGATTAACAACACCAATCATAGCTCAGTTCTTTAGGAGCCATACCGCCCACTAAACCAAGAAACTCAATGGAGGGGCGCGAAAAAAAGCACGTAGTGGAATGTTTATGCACATGAAGAACAGTACAATCAGATGTCGAATGATAAAGCTGGTGGGTACGGAAGAATCATCTTTCCACTCCAACATGCCATCTCTCTCTCTGGCTTTTGTGCATCAATCTGAAGCTCAAGCTGAACCTGCTGATCTTGTCCTGCAAAATGCTGCATCTGGTATTTGGTGGCAACCTTCCAAGAACAATAATTTCGAAAAGATGGGATGTGAGGAAACGAGGGCAGCTGCTGTCCATCGAAATTTCCCGAAAACAAACTTCCTTCTGTCAAAGAAGTAATTCTATACATACTTGTACGTATAATATATGTTTATTCCGCAAATTGATCCGGCTGCGGGTGAAATTCAACGCCTATATTGCGGACGATAACGACAAAAAGAAGGGGAGCAATGAATAGCTCGTTTACTTTGGGCATGAGCCCCAGATAATCAAGGGGGGCAACATGCATGAAGAATCACCACGTGTGAGGATCGCGGGTTGGCCCCCGAGTTTGAAGTAGCTGCCTACTGATTCAACGGATCGTTTCATTTAATTTAAGGAGCATATAAATACAAATTCATGCATCCCCAGATCATTCCACTGATGCGTCAGTTTCTTCGCTGCTTCTGGAAATTCTTTCTCGTGTATTTTATTCAAAGCTATCAGAACCAGCTGATGATTCATCTTCATCAGAAGATATAAATATATATAATTTAATTAGAAGATATGGATATGCAAATTTAATATGAAGCTCTGCCATATGGGTTTTCAAGTCGACAAGCGTGGGTGACAGGCCATGCAATTTGCTTCCTCCTCCGTAAGAAGCTCGAAGGAGATCTACTCTACTTTTATCTCTTTTTTTTTTTAGTTTGTTAATTTCTTCTTTATATCGAGCCAAGTTTTTTGAAAATGTAAAAAAATCGATATATGTTTGAACACTTCAAGGTGTTCGATTTTTTAAGGTCACTCACAAAAAGCAAAAGACCAATGTAATCCAAGGTCATGTTAATGAATATTTTAAGGGCATTTATTGAATTAATAGGAAAATATTCGAGTCTCAAAGCATTTAAAAATCGAACCCCTCGAAATGTTCGAGCATATATCGATTTTTACATTTTCAAAAAAGAGATTCAACGGATGCGCTTTACTTTAAAAAAATATTCGAGTCACAAATCACTATACTTAAAAGTGATTCTATCACAAAGACCGGAAAAGTCAAAGGCTAAAAAGCAAAGGTCCAAAGGATGCCCTGTTTTTTTACCTCTTTTGGGTAAAAACACCTACTGATTTTCATGTCAAGATTCAAACTATTATTTAATTTTTAAAATATCATAAAAAAATGTGTATGCGATTTTCTATGTTAATGTTTGTACATTTTAAAAGCTTTCCAATATTTCACGTCGAATAAAATTCAAAGTGTGAGATTAAGAGATATAAAAGAACAATAAAATTTAAAAATCACCCCAAACAGTTTGGATAAGAATTCAAGAATCAAATCGCTTACGCCATTGATTTCAGGTCAAAACTATATACTCGAGAAAACTTCGAATATTATGATTAAAAGATTATATGCAATTAATGAAGCAAATAAAATTATCATATGGGGAATAAGAGTGACCCAGATCATGCTTCATCATCTAGGTAGGAAGCACATCTTTTTTTCGTAAACAATAGTTGGCTCCTGTTGAGAAAATTGCACTACAAGTCTTGAATCTTACGTACGGAATTCAATCAAGTCATAAAACCTTTAGCGAAAAGTGCAATCAAGTCCTAAATCTTTCAATTGGTTCAATTAGTTCCTAAACCTTTTATTGGAAAATGCAATTAAATCCTAAACTTTATATTGAAATGTGCAATTTAAGGATGGCACAAATGCAATTTTTTAAGTGCCACGTATGCAAGAAGTATTATTCATCGAAAGACTTGATTGCACTTTTAAGAAAAATATTTCAATTAAGGTTAAGTATTTAATTGTATTAAACAAACAAGATTTAAGACTTTCGATGCGTTTTACTTGATCTTATTTGGCTATTTGCTACCTAGCTCTCACTCCCGATGTGGCAACTCTCTGTAGGTTCACAATGGAGTCATCGTTACAAAATTTATCTAATTGTAGATTTCATGACTTGAGCCAGATAATTTCCTCTTTTCTTGTAAAATTACCATAACTCATCGTCGCGGGCGTCACATATAAATGATTAAGGCTTTTGCCTATTCTTGAGAAGTCACAATTCCAAACCCACTGGCGATAGTTTTGGCATGATCCAATCCCTTCCGGGAAGAGGGGTCCTATCACTTCCCCGTCGACGGGAGTGGCAGAGACGAATTTGCCTCTCCGAGGAGTCCCCAAAAGCCTCTCTTAGGTGCCGTGTCTCGAGTCGAACATTTTTTTTTTAAAATTTCTTTTACTAATCATCAAGCTAATATAACGACGTGGAGGATATATTTGTTACCATTGGTCGCTCCTTCTCGATCTCCACAAAAAGGGTCGAAATCATCATTCACCAAGGAGCTGCCAGTCGCGAAGTCGAGATAGAAACTGTCATTATGAACAGCGACAGCCCTGTCAAAATAGCACCGAGAGGGACCCCCCAGCTCCTCCTCCTTGTCCTCACATGCACAAGATTATTTATGCACGCACACTCGCGCTCTTCCCTTCATCCTTTCCCGAGTCCCAACACTTTCGCCCAATCTCTCCCTCTCTCTGTGTGACTCTGACTACTGCAATGTCAAACGGCAGCAACAGCCGGAGGAGGCTCATCCTCAACACCGTCGCCGTCGACGTCGGCTGCAGCTGCCGGAAGCCCAGGCTCTTCCTCCACTCCCTCCTCAAGCCCATCTCCAAGCCCAAACCCTCCTCCACCTCCACCACCTCCTCCTCCTCCTCCTCCTCCAACGCCTCCAACCACCACAGGCGCTTCCTCTCCCACTCCCACTCCTCCTCCGCCACCACCGACCACTCAACGGCCAACGCCGCCGCCGCTGCCGCCGACCACTCTCTGCAGTACCTGCTGGACGCGGAGGCGGACGTGGCGAGGTCGGCGAAGGCGGTGAGGGGGTTCGGGAGGATCGACGACGAGGGGGTGGCGGTCGAGAAGGAGTCGCACGACCCGTACCTGGACTTCCGGCACTCCATGCTGCAGATGATCCTGGAGAACCAAATCTACACCAAGGACGACCTCCGGGAGCTCCTCAACTGCTTCCTCCAGCTCAACTCCCCCTACTACCACGGCGTCATCGTCCGCGCCTTCACCGAGATCTGGAACGGCTTCTCCTGCGCCCGCCCCGCCGCCGGCCACCACTCCCCCCTCCTGCACTTCGCTTACTAGCACCGGGAGTTCCGGGAGGAGGGCTGAGGAATCTGTTAACGGCCCGCGCGACGTCGGTACGTCAAGACAGGTTTACCAAGCAAAAACGCGATGAGATAACTAGTCTCTCTGTGTAGTTGTGTTAACTGTTAACAATGTTTACTTTGACCTCTAAGTTAGGGTGTTGTGTATGCGTAAGGTAGAAACTAGTTTCTTTCTTTCTGGTGTAACTTTTCTCCTTTTCTTCTTTTCTGGGTTTTGAGGTTATCGTGTTTGGCATGCAAATGTGATTATTACAGCGCCGAAAATGGCGAGCTGCGTTGTTTCGGGAGGCCGGCCATTAAAGCCGACCAGTGTTTTTCCTTCTCTGCTTTTTGTTGGAAAGGAAAGGAAATGAAACGAGATGGTAGATGTTTATCCCCTTTTTGTTTTCCTCCATTAATGGAACTTTATGGTCGTCGGGCGACAATCTGAGGCCCGTGTGCCGTGCGCGTGATCCTTGTACGACAACGTTCGACGTGTAACGTGTGTGGGTGCGTGTTAGTGTTTTGTCGACAGATTGAAGAGTCGTTTCACTGATACGGTTTTAGAAAGATTCGACCCTTTAGTCAGTCAGGTGATGCAATCTGGAGTTTCGCTCTCGAGGATCCTAGAAATCGACAGTTGAGCTCCGTGACTACTCCGGTTGCCCGCCCGACGCTTCGAACGATAAGTTCATTTACACTTGTATCACGTGCAAATAATAATAGAAAAAGAAAGCGCAAATTGCCAAATGAGTCATCAATCTATAGTACGGATGCTAATTTAATCCCAATTTTTTTTTAATTTAACCAATTTAGTCATCGGCAATGGCCGTCAAGGTCGAGCCTCGCCATGTGACCTCGCCCGAAGCTAGCGAGGTTGGGGAGGTCAGCGAGGTCGGTCCTCGCCAAATCCGGCGAGGTCAGTCACCGAGAACCAAATTGGCTAAATGAAAAAGGTTTTATGACTCAATTGACATATGTACAATATATTTGGGACTTTTTTGGTAATTTTCTCAAAAAAGAAAAGTAAGGCTCTTCGTTGGGCGAGAGTTTCTTTGAATGAAACTGTTCCATGTCGAAATTAATCGAGTTGAAAGTTCACACGCTCTTATATTAGATAAGTTTTTAATGAATATAACCAATGAAGAAGTATTTAAAATTTTAATTTGGTGATATAGAGTCGACTATCTAGAGTGTAAAAAATACGTATAATTTACAGTTTTTCTAAAGCATTCGGTTATAGACCCTACGTATGGGAGTGATTTAATATAATAAGGACTCGACAAAAGTGCCCCCCAGCACTTGCTAGGTATATTAATAAGAAATGGTTCGATTTTCAAATATCGATGATACATATATAACACGAAAAAATGCCAATTGACTAAAAATTATAAACCGTATTGTTTCCTCCTCTTGATTTCTCGAAGATGTAATTAAACATGCCGCGCAGATGCCAACCTGAGCGGGTTGGTCTGGACTGCAGGAGCCCAAGGTGGTGGGGGCTGGTCAAACGCCATGGCAGACCAAGACGATGCTGCTTCGAAGCGATGAACGTCTTTGTGGGAAAAGCGAGGGCATCGGTTTTGAATGGTGCTTGCAATGAGACAAATCGATTTGAATGCCCTTTAAATGAAGATGTCATGCATTTGGGGACTGACTGTGCATTTTCCAACACTGTAACAGCTGCATTAGAGACGACCATGAAAGAGTAAAATAAGAAAAATGACAACTCTACTGCCACCACTGCAATTTACCCTTCTGCTGCACCTTCTTCTGTCACTTGCAATTACTCGTGGCATCCTAAAGCCATTAGCATCTTAAGTGCATATCTTGTAACGATTGCCCGGAGGCTCATGAAATACCAAGCTTAATGAGCCGATGCGTCTATACTTTCGGCCTGGGTAGAATCTGAACGGATGACTCCGGCTCGTGAATTAGAAACTTCCTTCAGTCCTGATTCAACTGTTGTTTTTCCAAAGATCACATCTGATCTAGTGTTCTTAGGCCAACTACATCCTACTTTTTAGTCCAGGGGTAATCAAGTCAATAAGCTACATTGCAGACGACGACTATTGGCTTCATTGTTGTGCGTGAAATCAATTAAAAAGAGAAGAAATGGCATCTAGTGTCAGGTAATAGAACGTTCTAAACAATAGATAAAAAAGGGTGGATCCACTGGCTTCGTTCATGAGAATAAGCTCGGAGCGCGAAAGTTTCTGTCATTTTCATGTTATTTTAGTTCGTGCAGATTCCACAAGTGTACTGAATCCCAAGGGCATTTTCAAAGCAGTCCAACCGAGCATTTGGCAATACTTTAATCCCGAACCATGCGCGCTTAAGAAATGGACAAAATTGCTGCATCAACTGCTTAAACAAAAGAGCCTTTGTCCATTAAGCAATGTGCTTAGCAGAAAGGAGCTTGACTAACAACTGTCCTCAAATACAGTAATCAAGACATTGGAGTGAGTAAAAATACGTGTAGTTATCATATCACATTTCTGAAGGCACTGGAACATGTAGGGCTAACTTTTTTTTTGCCCTAATGTCCTCGGTGTGCATAGATGTAACTCAATCAGAGTCTTTTGACACACTTTTTAGTAAAGTTACCCAAAAGAACTCCCTCTTCTTCTTTTTCTTTTTGTTTTTCTCATAGATAAAGTTACTCATATTTCTCCTCCACCGATTCTATCTATGTATAGAGATCATTCGGTCCACATATTGTTGGAAAGCACATAGCACGATACTATTTGTTGTAATCAGAAAATTTAAATAAGAATAAAAATTTCAAGAAAACGACAACAAATTAACTCTGACAAATGCCGCCATTGGATGGAATGAACGGGTTATTGCCTAACTTTGTACTGAGTATCAACTTAGGAAAGTCCCTAGGCCATCACCTTAATAGATGCAGTCTCAGAAACGAGGAAATGCTTTGAGTGCGAGAGTTCCTTCGCCTGGTGCAATGAGGCAGAGACGCATGCAAAGCCTCCGTGGACTCTCGGCCAAAGTTGCATTGGCCGGACGCCACAGTTATTTGACTGTACCCTGCATTATGTAGGAAAAACTGAATGGATGGTAACAAAATTAAATAGGAGGTGAGGTACGGATTACCTAATCCCCTTAAGGCGATTAATTATCGTCTCACAAGATATAACACCTCGAACCCATTTGTATTAACACTATGCAAATAGGACTTGGTCAAAGTCTTCTCGAAATCGACACTTCGAGAAAATTGAAGTGAAGAGACGCGTTGTTTTTTCTTCTTCTCTCTCTATATGGAATGACGAATAGTTCATCCCCTTTATAGAATTTGAATGGACATGAACTAAATAAATACATGAACTTAATAGATCCATGAACTAAAAAGACATGTGTACTGAAGATACATGTCATGTTTTGCTCAATTTTATTGCTCCATCAACCCACAATTTCAACACATATCGAAGAAAACTCTATATGTTGGCATATGATGAATCTTGTTAACAAGCGCCCTCTTAACATTTGTTAACCACGTTAATTAAAAGGATATTTTCAATGGGCTGATTATGCGTACTAGAGAGAGATAATACATCGAAAATGACAAAGTATCGTTAATCATGTGTTCAACAATTGCCTCCAACGCTTGTGGACAAAAACCCTTATATCATTACAGCACCTATAATACAGTTGTCTGATAATAAATTTAAATAAATGCATGTGCCGTCTAGTTTGGAGCGTTAGTCAAATGAAGCCACAGGGAATCTTCATGATAGTTTAGTGGAGAGAGAGTGAGAGAGAGCGCCTTTCATTGAAGCCCATTGAAGAAGGAACAGTGACTCTCTCTCTCTCTCTCTCTCTCTCTGCAATTATGAAATGTGGAAAGCGAGCTGCAAAAGCTAATGCACAAACGCAGTCGAAAAAATGAAAACTCCGCTTCTGGTTTATTGGTACGACAAAAGACGAGAATTATGTCAACTTGTTGTTTAGTCGGGACCAGTTTCTGGGTGCAAAATCTAAATCTACTGAGCACAATAGCTTCCTGGGTTTTCGTTTACTGTCCCCCAGTAAAAGAAGCTTTATCGTCTACTCGACTCTCTCTCTCTCTCTCAGCTTTTGTGCATGTAGTGGGCGACATCTTTGTGAACAAAGCGAAAGAGCAAAGAATAATGAAGCAGCAGCAGCAGCAAACTGAAAGGACGGCCAGACAAAAAAAGAGAAATTAGACGTGAATTTTGATGAAGTGTTTTTGATTCAGAAGTACCCTTTTTGTGTGAAAGATTTTTGTTGATTATTTTTATCGAGTAGTCTACCATTTACAAATGGGAGTCAATATTACAAGGTTATTGTAAACCATGTGATATAATTAATTTGGGGAGCTATTTTGGTTCCCTATAAAAAAAATTATTCTCGAGTTTTGTTTTCTCTAGGTAAGGGTATTCTCAAGTTGAAATGCCCGATAAGAATGCTTTACCTATTCAATCTCACAAAAATCACGTTCGATTGCATTTTCTCCTCATAATATAGTATTCACTTTATGAGAAGGAACTTGTGATACGCGTGTAGAAGTGCTTAAAGAGCGGCCCTCCAAGGAAAATCGCACATCCTAGCAAGTAGTCGAGCTCCATTGCCATGTCAAAAATATGTGTGTTGAACATGATCCAAAGGTTATATGCAGCTATAACCCTTAATTTTCATGAGATTCACATTATGAAAAGCTGTGATTATCGATTTGACGCTTTTCATATCGATTTGATTCATGCGATTAACGCCGTGGGAGGAGCCATTAGTTAGTCATTCTCTTCTACCTATTGTGCTCATAAGGGGAAAGGCAAAAAGGAGTCTTATTAAGAAGAGATTAAGAAAAAAACCACTAAAAGGCTAAAGTCTAAAAGCAAACCGCCCCACATCTTTACTTTCTCTCTCTCTCTCTATGCACGAAAATCCTCTAAACTCAGCTCACAAAAGCATCACAATCCGTCCCTAAAGGGCGACCTCAAAAGGACCAAATCAAAACAGGTAATCATCAGACCGCAGTCGTCTTTTCCTTTTTTTATGAAGCATTCCATGTTCTTTTGAGAATCGAGACACATCTGTTGTCTGGTCTCACTGACTGCTGTCCCAACCCTAAGCAAACCCTAAAGCACTCACAAAACCAAACGCTAACTTCCGTGTGGTCCCAGTGGCCGGCGGTCGCAGGAGTAGAATAAGCTCTGAAACCGTTCCAAGCCATGGATTTCAGAGAAGCTATCTTTTTTGACTTGAGAGTCGGTCAAAAGGCTACAAGTCATGCGGGCGCCTTATCATGCCTTGGTCCCCTAGACAAGGATGCGTACTCCTCCATGGCCTAAGGCGTCGAGATTATAGCCCGGACTACCATTTCATTAGTGACAAGGTAGGATGAGCTTCTGTCTCCATCCGTG